ATAAGGTGCATGGCACTGTTTCATCACTGCCAAGATCAGGAAGAAAATGCAAGCTATCACCTGCTGCTGAGAGAAAATTGGTCAGGAGGGTAAAGAGTGAACCAAGAATCACCAAAAAGCAGATCTGCCAAGAATTAGAAGCTGCTGGAACACAGGTGTCATTGTCCACAGTCAAACGTGTTTTGCATCTCCATGGAGGCTGCCGTGCAAGAAGGAAGCCCTTGCTCCAAAAGCGGCTCCTTAAGGCTCGACTGAAGTTTGCTGCTGATCACATGAACAAAGATAAGACCTTCTGGAGGAAAGTTCTGTGGTCAGACGAACCAAAAATTGAGCTTTTTGGCCACAATGCCCAGCAATATGTTTGGAGGAGAAAAGGTGAGGCCTTTAACCCCAAGAACACCATGCCTACAGTCAAGCATGGTGGTGGGAATATTATGCTGTGGGGCTGTTTTGCTGCCAATGGAAGTGGTGCTTTACAGAGAGTAAATGGGATAATGAAGAAGGAGGATTACCTTCACATTCTTCAACATAACCTCAAATCATCAGGACGAAGGTTGGGTCTTGGGCGCAGTTGGGTGTTCCAACAGGACAATGACCCCAAACACACATCAAAAGTGGTAAAGGAATGGCTAAATCAGGCTAGAATAAGGGTTTTAGAATGGCCTTCCCAAAGTCTTGATTAAACCCCATTGAAAACATGTGGACAGTGCTGAAGAAACAAGTCCATGTCAGAAAGCCATCAAATTTAACTGAACTTCACCAATTCTGTCAAGAGGAGTGGTCAAAGATTCAACCAGAAGCTTGGCAGAAGCTTGTGGATGGCTACCAAAAGTGCTTAATTGAAGTGAAAATGGCTAAGGGACATGTAACCAAATATTAGCACTGCTGTATGTATATTTGTGACCCAGCAAATGTGATCACTTTTCTCTGTTAACCCATAATAAAGACATTAAAGAACCAAACTTCATGAATGTTTTTTGTGACAAAGAAGTATCTGTTCCAATCACTCTATCAGAGAAAAATCAGAGTTTTAGAAATAACGGGACACTCAGTAGAGCCATTATATTATATTTTTTACAAGTGTATGTAAACTTCTGACCACAACTGTACATATAGTCAACAGAGCTACTCCAACATGCAGCCACCCAGAGCAGCGCAGTTCCGGATGAAAGCCTGCAGCAACCCCCCAGGTCAACGGAAGACGCACAAAAATACCTATTTGCCAGATAGAAACGGACCCAACCCAGGGCAGGATCCAAAAGACCGACCCAGCATTTTAGACGATCTAGCAGGATTTGGTATTCAACTGTATCAAAAGCTGCTGAGAGATCTAACAACAGCTGCAGAACATGTGACCCTGAGTTGGATGCTACCAAAATGTCATTCAGCACACAAATCAAAGCGGTCTTGGTGCTGTGTTGTGGTCTGAATGCAGATTGAAACATATCCAACAGTGCATTGTCCTTTATATGGTTCATAATCTGTGAAAGAACAGCTTTCTACAGGACTTTTGACTGGAATGGATCTTTCAAAATTGGATGCAAGTTGTTAAAGTTGTCTGAATGGTCCAAATCAGGTTTCTTTAAAATGGGCTGAACAACTGCTTTTTAAGAACCATAGAAAAAATACCAGAAACAAGTCTAGTGTTCACGATGTTTAGAGTGGCAGGACCAAGGACAGTAACAAGTTCACGTACCAACATCGGTGGCAGAGTCATCTGGAGAGCCAGTTGGTTTTACAGATTTGATCAGTTTTTCAATGTCATGAAGATGAACTGGGGCTAAATTGGAAAAGGTAGTCAAGGATGTTGGCTCCACTGTGCACGTTTGCCCTTGAGGCAAAAGGCTAAGACCTTGACCTGTACCAGAGAAGTGTTAGATCAGCCAGGAACAAATACTTTGCATGCATAATTTCTCAGCATCAGGGTGATCAGCATAAACTTTATAGCACTGGGAATTCCATCTTGTCAATAACTGAACCTGGTAGTGTTGATCCCTCTGTGTCATTGTGTGCTGAGCTCCAGACCTTCTTTCTTCACAAATTCCGGGACATTAGGGATAGTCTTGTGCAACCAGGATCTGGTTGTCCTGATGTACCACCAGCACCTCCCTCATTCTGTAACTTTACTCCCATATCTCTTAGTGAATTGTCAGATCTGATTGGAAATATGAAACCAGCAGGTTCTCCTGAGGACCCTCTCCCCCCGAGGATGGTGGGTGAGATCATCCCTATTTTGGGCCCCACAATTTTAGACATTTTTAACTCTAGCTTGGCCACTGGGGTGTTTCCTACTTCTTTTAAAAAGGCGGTTGTGCAACCAATTAAAAAAAAAACCTGGTTTAGACGGCTCAAACCTTGCAAACTTTTGGCCAATCTCCAAATTACCGTTTTTGTCTAAGGTCCTTGAAAAGATTGTCTATTCACAGATTACAGCAGACATGAATAGCTTTTCTGTGGTTGATGTGTTCCAGTCTGGGTTTAGGCCACTTCACAGTACCGAATCAGCCCTTCTTCGCGTGACCAATGATATCCTGGTGGCTTCTGACTCTGGGTCGCCTGTTTTGATCTTACTGTTAGATCTTTCTGCAGCATTTGATTCCGTTGACCACGATATTTTGCTGGATAGACTTGAGTCATGGGTAGGGCTTAGGGGGACCGCACTTCAGTGGTTCTGCTCATATCTGTCAAACAGAGTTTTCAAGGTTCAGTTGGGTAAATGTTCCTCTACATTCCTTCCACTTCCATGTGGAGTGCCGCAGGGTTCTGTGCTTGGGCCTCTCCTGTTTTCAATTTACATCCTACCCCTGGGTTTCATCCTGAGGAAATATGGCCTGGGCTATCATATTTATGCAGATGATTGCCAGATCTACCTGGCTTTGAACAAACCAGGCTCCCTCTCTCTTCTGGACCAGTGTTTGGCTGAAGTGAGGGTTTGGCTTGCCAACAATTTCCTTAAGCTAAATGATTCTAAGTCTGAGGCACTCCTGATGACCCCTAACAAAATCATACACGTATCTTCTGATTTGGCCACTCTCCCTTTTGACCTCGAGCAGTGTGTTACCAACCTGGGGGTGAAACTGGGATACACACTTTTCCATGGGTCCTCAGATTAACGCAGTGGTCAGATCGTGTTTTTATCAGCTGCGCAGACTAGTCCGCTTAAAACCGATCCTGAAACGAGCACACCTGGAATCTGTAATTCATGCTTTTATCACCTCCCGACTGGATTATGCAAATTCCGTTTTAATTGGCTTACCTGCCTCCGCTCTTAACAGGCTTCAGGTCGTACAGAACGTGGCAGCCAGGTTTTTAACAAACACCCCTAGAAGACACCATATCACACCTGTACTGGCACAGCTCTACTGGCTACCCGTAAACTTTAGAGTCAAGTTTAAAATCCTGACTTTTGTTTTTAAGGCCCTGAACGGTCTGGCTCCGGATTACCTGTTGGATCTTGTCACTCGTTATGTGCCAAACCGGGCGTTGAGGCCTGCTGATTGCCTGCTGCTTCGTGTTCCATCAATGAAATACAAAACGTGGGGGCAGCGTGCTTTTGTCTATGCTGCTCCGACACTCTGGAATGCTCTTCCTCTTTCAGTGAGGCTGGCACCATCCCTCCTCCGGTTCAAGTCGCTGCTGAAGGCTCACTTTTACGACCAGGCATTTTTAAATCACTGACTTTTATTATTTTATTATGTGTCTTTTTATTGACTGTGATTATCTGCCTTGTTGTGCATTTTATTGTTGACTGTGTATTGTTTTATATTGTGTTTTTACTTTTTATTCTGTACAGCACTTTGGTCGGCTGCCATGCCATTTTTAAATGTGCTTTATAAATAAAGTTGATATGGTATGGTAAGTCTAGTTCCACTAATCTTATTTAACCCTTTCACGCATGATTTATGAAATCTTCAACCATGATTTTTTAAACCATTTTTTCATTCATTTTAAGGTATGACTTAAACAAATTTTATTTTTTGTAATATTTAATTTACAAATAATTTACTACATGCCTACCACAGTGGACAGCGTGTGCCCTGAACATGAAATATGTTGGCTTGACTTCTAGATTACAATGGGGGTGCTCAAATGCAATGAAGTTGTCGGCAGCTGTGCTTAATAGCAAAAAAGAAAATAATAATTTTGAGTAGCTGTCCATTGTAGTGACCATTATGCAGGGCAAGTGTTTTCATCACCTTGGTAATGAAATATGGATTGTTCACCCTGTAATGTGCTCATGGACCACTAGGGGTACGTGTGCCTCTGGGTGGGAATCACTGCTCTATCAGCATCCACCATCTGATTTGTTTATTTCCGAAGCCTCATCATTCATCCCTGCAAAAGACACATGCTGTAAAGTAACTTATTGCATGAGCAACACTATGACCTGAGCTGCTGTTGTTTAAAACTGCATTCTAGGAATAGATTTTAGGAAGTTCTGCAGACTTCAGGATGCATGCCTCCAGACTGGGCCTGAGGTAGAGGCCTCTGTAGCATGAAGGAGTCCAGTTTCCAGAAAGCAGGGAGATGCTGTCTATCTGTGTGAAGGTCACCATCAGCAGCAGGCTTATCTAACATCCTCCTCAAACATCTAATAGCTGCTCAAAAGAAAACACTCTTCCCAAACATCTAAAGGCTGTGGCTTCAAAACATTCATATCAACATTCCTCCAGTTAACTATTAACAGGATACAAGCTGAGTTATTAATTAAATGAAGAGAATTGGGTTCTCTGGTTCAAAAGAACCATTGAGAAGATTCTGTTTAATGTGTGAGAGCTTTGTTTATTTATCCAGAGCCAGTGGTGGTGGGGTGGTGGTGGTTTGGGGGGGGGGGGGGGGTCCCTTATGTAACGTTACAGACTGCAGACACACTGCCATAGACAGCAGGAGGTGAGTGTGAGCAGAGATTTTCCTCCAGACTGAGGTGTAAAGCTCTTCTGTGGTCTACACACCGCCCCATGTCACTGCTTCCCATCTGATAAGTCACCTGTCTGTTTCAGAGTAAAATCCCTGGAGTTGGCTTTGTAAAAGTCCATGCACCTTGGGGTGTTCTGTGTCGAGAGGCTGAGTTCATGAAGCTCAAGATGCCAACAAAAAAGGTATTCATCCCAACTCAACACTTTACTATCCAGATGTTACAAAGTTAATCTTCTCTTATTTTTCCATCTGTTGACCATTTGTCATGTAAAACCAAGCCCCCATAATTCGGGTCTGGAAATGAAGCAAAACAGGAAGTAACAAAAATTGCAGTTCCACCCTCATCTGCTGGGGGCTGGGGTCAGAAGCGAGCAAATCCTCATTGACTCCCATGTTAAAAATACCAATTTCACAGCAGAAATAAACATGTTTACAGCCTAGTTCCAAAACATGTTTTAGGTTTAATAGATCTAGTTTACACTCATGACAACTCTGAGGGGGTGAAATGTTTCTCACTCTTTTGTTTAAATGTATGAAAAGCCTAAAATTCTGAATAATTAATGAGCATCAGACCCACATGACCACAGAGCTAGCTCTGTGGAAAGGCCTCAGCCTGAGCCTCGGTCTGGCCTGGAAACTGTTCCGCCATTTTCAGTCTCTCAACTTAGACCATTAGTTGTGCCGTTTGTACGTTCTTTTTTTGGATATTATTTGTACAATTGTTGGACAAAATGACTTGCTGTGGCATTAATTGCACTAATAGAGCGTCCAAGGAGTCTCCACTTAATTTTTTTTTTTGGTAAGTAAAATTATATTTATGTATTTTAGGTCACTGCCGAGCTGAGCTTAGATTTTAACATGTACTGTTTAACCATGAAATTTAAATGTAACAGGGTAAACCCAGTGCATTTAACATGATGCTGCATTTTTGAAAATGAGTTGAAATATAACATGTTGGTGGAGCTGGGTTCCGACTGTCGATATGGTCTCCCTCCCCTCAGCGGCAGCTTCTTACTATGGCAAGCCAAATGAGCATTTATTCTGATATCAGGATATCAGCCAGAATTGTCATGAACATGTAAACCATTTCTGTCCACTAGTTAACTAGTTAGCCATGTTTGTGTCAACTAGTTAAATAGTGACCGCCTAAATGTCAACTAGTTAACTAGTAAGGCCTAAATTCTCTCTAGTTAACTAGTTAAAATGTTTAATATCTTACTAGTTAACTAGTGTTGCTCAGTGTGTTCACTAGTTAACTAGTGGACAAATCAATGTCCACTAGTTAACTAGTTAAAACACATTTAGTTTTTACTAGTCAACTAGTAAGGTACAAAAACTCGTACTAGCTGACTACTGAATGTAAAAATCCCACTTGTTAACTTTGCCCAATTTGGCCAGCCGCTTGAGCATTAATTCTGATATCTTGTCAACAGGTCAACTAGTTAACTAGTGAGGGTCAAACTGTACACGCTAGTTAACTAGTGAACACATTTTGACCTTCACTAGTTAACTAGTTGACACAAAAATGGCTCATTAGTTAACTAGTAAAGGCCAAAATGCATACCAGTCAGCTAGTTGAAGGTATTTGTGTCTCACTAGTTAACTAGTCAAGGTCAAAATGAGCCCACCAGTTAACTAGTGGGAGACAAAAATGTTCACTAGTTAACTAGTGAACACATTTTGGCTTCACTGGTTAACTAGGTGACACAAAAATGGCTCACTAGTTAACTAGTAAAGGCCAAAATGCATACCAGTCAGCTAGTTGAAGGTTTTTGTGTCTCACTAGTTAACTAGTGATGGCCAAAATGTGCACACCAGTTAACTAGTGACAGCAGAAATGCCCACTAGTTGACAAGTGAACACATTTTGGCTTCCTAGTTAACTAGGTGACACAAAAATGGCTCACTAGTTAACTAGTAAGGGCTAAAATGCATACCAGTCAGCTAGTTGAAGGTTTTTGTGTCTCACTAGTTAACTATTGACAGTTCAAAGTGTCCACATGTTCACTAGTGAAGGCAAAACTCCTAACTAGTTAACTAGTTGGAGTAGGTCAGTGCCACTAGTTAACTAGTGAACCATTAATGGCTCACTAGCTAGCTAGTTGATTGTAGCAGGCTCACTAGTTACCTAGTTGATGCATCCATTGTCCAAACTAGTTAACTAGTGAGGACATAAATGTATACTAGTGAACTAGTTCAAGCCTACATTCACACTAGCTAGCTAGTTGCACAGAATTCAAATTAGGAGGCGGACAATTTCTCAAATTGAGGCTTTCTATTGGCTCACTATGTTAAAATAAAATATGACAACCAATCACAGTGCGGAATTTTGCAAAATCCCACCCCAAACATTTGCATGCGGCACACAAGTTAACATGCTGGCCAGAGGAACCTCAGCTAGTGAACTAGTGGCTTCAGTGTGACACTTACATGTAAACTTGTGAAGGCGGAACTGCTCACTAGTTAACTAGTGAGGGTACAAATGTCCACTAGTTAACTAGTGAGGTGCAAAATAAGTGTCACTAGTTCACTAGTGGGCCCCAAAACGCCCACAAGTTAACTAGTAAGGTGCGGATATGCTCACTAGTTAACTAGTGAGGTGCAGATTTGCTCACTAGTTAACTAGTGCGCCCTTAAGCGCCCACTAGTTAACTAGTAAGGTGCAAAAAAGCATCACTAGTTAACTTGTAAAGTGCAGATATGCTCACTAGTTAACTAGTGGGCCCGAAAACGCCAACTAGTTAACTAGTAGGGTGTGGATTTGCTCACTAGTTAACTAGTGAGACGCAGATTTGCTCACTAGTTAACTAGTGAGGTGCAGATATGCTCACTAGTTAACTAGTGAGGTGCAGATATGCTCACTAGTTAACTAGTGAGCATATCTGCACCTCACTAGTACCTCACTAGTTAACTAGTGAGCATATCTGCACCTCACTAGTTAACTAGTGAGGTGCGGATTTGCTCACTAGTTAACTAGTTACATCTAAAAACACATACAAGCTGACCATTTTTGTCCACTAGTTAACTAGTGGAACAATTGAAATTTCACCAGTTTACATGTGTGGCAGTGCAGCAGCTCACTAGTTAACTAGTGCCTGAAACACAAATTATGCATATTCTAATGAGAAGGCGGGCAGAAGACTCCTGTTGGGTATAAGAATCCCACCCAGTCTAAAACGTATGTGCTGTGGCCTCGCAATCACATACTGATGGGTGCCCCTGAGCACCAAGGCTTGCACTCATTAGTCATGGTTTGACACCTACTGGTTGGTCGTTGCGGCGGGTTCGAATCCCGCAGATGGCATTCCGCAATTGCTGTAACATTATTTATTTTATCTTTGTGTTGTAATGTTCAAAGTTTTATTGTTTTACTGCTTTTATTCCCCCCTCACAAATCAAGTAAAGCACCTCGTTTGGTGTTGTGTAAGGGAGATCAGTTGGCGAGTTCAAGTCCCATAGAGGAAAATTGGAATTTAGTGTGCCAGTTATCTATTTTATTGTAGTTCATTTTTGTTTGGTATTGAAAGTTTGGTATTGAAAAAGGCTATATTAAAAATAATTATTAATATATATTCATCCATCCATCCATCCATCTTCCCAAGAAATAGATCAAATGACACTGAGGGAAAAAACTGTAGTCATTTTGGAGAGGGTGCTCGCTGCAAAACCACAAAGGCGGAGCTGCACGCCGCCCATTCACGCAAACTCAGCCTAGCCCACTGACTTCCGTTTTTGTTTTCAACTTTATCGCAAACTGACCTGACCCACATGAATTACGGCTGTTACTAGTTTACAGTCGTTAATGCTATGTTCTATGCTCCAATTAAACAAGATAAATATAACTTGCTACATGACAAAGACTGAATATATCTCAAAATGAAAAGGTTTCTTTTAACGAATATCTGCCTACAGCTGGTCTAATAAAAGTGGTGTACAACAGCACTTCAGTCTATTGAATGGGCTCTGGTGGTCTAGTGGTAAAATCGTCTGATTTGGTTTTTGCTTTCCCCTCAGCTGATGCTGGTTCGATTCTCTGTGGGGTCGTCAGCAGTCCATTTAGCCAGCTGAAACATTTAATTTGTTTATATTTTAATTGTAATGTTTATTTTCAGCAAAATATTTATGTCTCTAAAAGTTCTTTGAATTTGGTCGTTCCTAAACAGCATTTTAGTTGAAACTCTGCTCACAAATGGACTCACACTGGCTAAATAAACGAATAAATAAATAAATAAACACATTATATGTTAAACGGTATACCAGTAAATTGTTGTAAACATAGTACTGGCAAGTGTAGCTAGAAATGAAGAAAAGAGGTTGTAAATTACCTAAAACTTACACTACTGGGAGGCGAAACAGCATGTCAACCTGACTCCATAACCACTACACCACCACATCTGTTATAAATCATGTGGCGTTACATGTAATTGTGCTGCCCAGTGTGTCTCTGAGATGGGATGTATGGTTTATTGGCAGTGTCTCAGTAGAAGTCATTTCAGAAATAATTTGTCAGAAAATTCACAGAATATCCAGATTTGAGAACCAAGACCAGACCCGCTTCGGGGGAGGAGACCAAATTGAAGCTGAGATGGGAGGAAAATGCATGAATGAGGCTAAAAATGGCTTTGGCGTGTTTCTTATGAGGAAATGACAATATAACATGTTTAAAAGTTCCAAAAGTTAGATTTTTAATTATATGGAACCTTTACAAAAACTGTTCAATTAACTTCTCAACTCCGTCCTCAATCTCGCATTTTTTAGCTACAACACCCTCTTTGGTTCCAGAATGCTATCAAGTCTGACAACTGGAAGGAATTAGACTGACTCTGATGGAATGGGCGGGGCTGATTCTGGAATGGGCGGGGCTGACTCTGGTGCAGCTGCACCTTCTGGTGCAGCTCCGCCTTTGTGATTCTGCAGCGAGCACCACTTGTTATTTTGAGCTAGTACCAGAAGACAGTTTAACCTTTTTTAGTTCTCTCCAGTCAAAACAAAACTTTAGACTTTTTTCTTTTTTAATTTAACAGGGAACAGCAATCAATTGAACAGGGAACTGCAACCAGTAGTCACACAACAAAATAAAATCACACAAACAAAATAAAGTTACTCTCCTCTTTTCTTGGTGTCTGAAAAGTGCAGGGAAAACCATCAGACTCCAGTCCCCCATCGAATGGACTCTTCACCCT